CGTTAGTGGTTTCAAAACTAAAATGGAAAAATGCTCCGCCTTGAACGCAATTTGAGGAGGCAATCTGCCCCTGGGGGTATTCCCTATAATGGCCTACACGGGGAAGCTCCGCCCGAAAGGGGGACCTTTTTCAGGCTTCAGCAGGCCTCAGGTATATAAAAGGGTATGGATTTCACAAGGTGAAAGGGTGAGGAATTCTGTCCTTTAGCTCCATTTAGTTAATTAAAAGGGCCTTTAGCGTTCAGAAAAAACGAGCACTAACAAGAGTTAATCTCCTTTTATTCTGCCAACAACAGAACACTCAAACCGCAACAACTTGCCCAAAGGGCACGTGCTTACAATTGGGAGGAATTGGCAAATCCCCCTCTAAGAACTAAATGTCATATGATAACGCAAGAATGTTCTAGAAATGTCACGCAAGGAATGTTGAGGGTCACTACAGGCCCATAATCAAAATATTTCCAACAGATGCATCTTTATATGGCTGGGTCATTTAAATGACGGAAAGATTTCCTTTTTTCGCGGTTTATTAATAGTACGGGCCGGTTATGAAATTCGAAAGCATGTGAAAGTGGCTAGGGCTACCTTTTTTAATAAAAGGTATACGAAAGGGAAGCCTTTTCTGTTAAAATGGTGTACAAAAGCATAAGGAGTTGGACCTTGGGGAGGGGCATCCCCGTATAAAACTTTGTGAAGTACCCCTATCCCCTCAGCCCCTCGGTCCCGGGTAATCTGCACGATTTTAAGGTCAGCATGCACGAGTGGACTAGTCCCTGCAACTAGTCCCCTGAAGAGTTTACACGAGGGTGTTGTCCCACGAACAGTTCACACGAAGCGTTTTGAGGAACAAGTCGCAGGGACATGTCCCAAAAATTCAAACCAGTTTGAATTCGTGGGACTAGTCGATAACATTGCACCACCAAAAAGCAACATGGCCGCAAGGCCTGCAGCTGTACGGTGGAGTAGAATAAGCTATTTATAGCTTCTTTTGCATTTTGTTGTTTATATGCTTAGTATAAATGTAAGCCTAGTACCATCTCTGCAGTTTTTGTTGAAGGGGTTCTGGACGAAACAGCACGGAAACTGTCGAGCCACCTCCAAATTTATCACCTCGACGTTTAGATATCTCAAGCGAAGCTTTAATTTTACTCACAAGGAAATCGAAAATTTATTGAGTAAACTATACCACAGGTGAAATCTTACAATGACGAAAGGCGGAGCTAACAAGAAACAGACGAAAGGGCAACGGCGCGACGAGCTTGAAAGGAAACGAGATGACCGTGTGAGGCGAAATGCTTTGAAAAAAGAGCGCAAAATGAAAGAGTACCTTGAAGATGATCAAGACTTTGCCAGCTTCAGTAACCAGCTGGAGGCGCTGGGTTTGAAGATCAAAGATATCCCAGGAGACGGGTTAGTCTAAGGCTATAAAATTAACACTCGTTTAACTTTAACTATACAGCAATAATTTGTAATAATTACTCAACAAACTGTTATAGAATAAGAAAGAAATTCAAGGTTATGTTGAATGTCATTTTACTTGGGAAAGATGTCTCTGAAAGTTATAGATCTGTAGAGGGACCTGAAATATAACCTTGATAAAATTATGTGATAGCACTGTCTTGAAAGGAATCTACCATGAAGTTATAAAGTTTACTTTTCTAAGCATTTGACATGTTCATGCGGGAGAAGTCAGCTTTAAAAACTCCTACAGCTACATACCAATGATAATCCATTTGAAGAAGCTAGTGATAAAAGGGGATAACTGACAATTTTGGTTGTTGTTGTTTTTTTTTCTCCAAATTAGCTGAATTTTTGCATGTGGCCTTCATTTCAGCTGAAAAACATTGCCCTGTAATTTTTTTCACTGGGTTGCTCTTCATTTTCGAGAAATAATGTATGCAAAAAAGGCACTTTTCCTAGTGGCATCTTTTGGCGAATGTGAAACAACAGAAACCTTTTGTTTTGCCAGACAATGAAATCAACGAAGCATCACATTATTTTGTCAGTCTGGATCTGACTGGTAGTTCCAAACTGTTCAGTTACATGTAAATAGATTGAGTAAGTTTCATTGAGCTGCACATCAAATGAAGTCCACTTGAAGTACTTGTGAGTTGGAGCACAACTGTTTGTCTTCCACACAGCTCCCCAGTAACAATAGCAATAGACCATTTCTGAGTTACCCTGTGCCTCTGTTTCAAAATGAGTCCTCATGTGAAACCTTTCGTGTGAAAACGAATTTGATTTGGATGAAAAAGAACCTGTAGGGGGAACATATTTTCATATGAATGGTTTTGCATGGACTCGTTTTGCCTCTTCATGCAGGAAATCTAGTCATATAAGCACAGTAATTCACTGAGGACCAGTGCTTCAGAGATACCTAACTTCTGCACAAACAATTTTCCTTTGCTGTGCCCAGAAATTGCTTGTTCCGGGCCTTGGGGGATCAGATTGAGGGAGAGCACACGTCCCACGCCCGGCACAGAAGAGAAACAGTCAAATACATGAGAGATCATAGAAGTGACTTTGAACCGTTTATGGAGGACAATGTGTCATTTGATAAGCATTGTAAGTATTGCAAGTAATCATTCACAAATCATTTTCTAAGTAATTTAGCTTAGTAATAGATGTATCTAAACAGAAAAGACAACTTGTGAACACAACTGACAAAGCTGAGATGTTCTAAAGAACACAAGTTTTATGTGGTTTGATTTTTTGCCTTCAGTAGAGCAATTATCGAAACTTAGTACTTATGGTGGAAATGACAGCATTGTGGCTTTTGCACGTAACCATGGTGTCAATATTGTCATACATCAACTCAATGAACCTCGATGGGTTATTTATGGTGGAGATTACAGCAAGAATGGACAAGCTCGAGAGCTACATATCTCTTACCATAATGGTGAACATTACTCATCTGTACGACGCATTAATGACAACACTACAGAACCAGCTTGGGTTAAACATAATGAAAAAACATCTGCAGTTACAGCTGTAAGTATTAATTTATATATAGATTTAGCCAAGCCTAAAAGCAGAGCTCCTGATTGCAATAATTATAAGTTAACCTGGCTTGAGCCTACAATCCAATTGAAAACCAGTACCTGGGCAGTAGTCAACATAAATAAAAAGCTTGACCTCAATGAGCTCTAAACTTGAGCCAGTGATATGGTTATGTGATAATGGTCAGCAGATACCGGTACGTTGTTTTGACAGGTGTCAGCTGACCATAACATGGATGTCCTAAATATCAAAGCTGTATGCTGTGAACCAAGGTTGCATGCCTCAGTTGACGTATTAATTTTGCTGAAGTATGGCTGTCACGTTGTGCGACGTCATCATTCTTGTCATTGTGCATGCATACTGTTAGCCATGATAACCACAAAGAAAGCAATTTATGGGATCATATGAGTACGTGGTGCTCTGCATGGAGGCCCTTTGACTCCCCTTTGGGTTGCTCGAGCTCCGCTATAATTTATGAGGCTGCATCATTGGCATAATTATGAACTTCAAATGAAGACACCAAGGGGAAGACTAAATGGTAGTTTAAAACGCATGTTGACGGATATGTACCTTTTGGCTGAATTGTTGTTTTTCTTTAGCCTGTAAAACCACAACCTTCAGAAAGCAAAAAGGTGAGAAAGTCTAAAGAAAAGGAAAAAAGAAAAGACACAACAGCTGATATTGACAACATGGCTTTTCTACAAGGAGGCGAGCTCACAGCAGAGGAGTTAGTTATGGCAGCCACTGGATGTAAGGTGCAGAATAAAATACCATCAGATACGTGATTTAAATATTTAGTACATGGTAATTTAAGAAAATAGTTGCAATGAATATAAATTACAAAACATGTATGTGTATTAAGCCCTTTAATTTAGGAAAAATTGAAATCTTGGACAAAGCAAAAGAAAGAGAGTAAAAATCAAATAGAGAGACCCCCCCCCCCAAAAAAAAAAAATAAAATAAAAAAAAACAGTTGCATGACTCAAACCAACAATTCAGAGTTGTGATTAGCAGTTTTCTCTATGCTTAGTGCTGAACACTGTGCCATATTGTTCAATATGATTTACGGATTAAATCTTTGTTATTCACGTCACACTTTTAGTACATTTATGTGGCACTTCGTTGGTTTCATGATATCACTGTGTCACAAAACAAAGGACTAATCATTTTCTATTGCTTCTATTTTGAATATAGCAACGACATTTTTTGGCTTGTTTTTTCTTGAAAACAGAGTGGAAACTAACAAAAAAAGCCAGGGCAATGTTTTTCAATTTAAGGCCAAATGCAAAAATGCAGCTAATTTGGACCATAAAATATTATCAAAATCCTCACTTATCCCCTTTTACCACTAGTTACTTTACTGAAGGATATTTATAATATAAAGCTTTTAAATTACTGGATTAATTTTCTGCAATTCTGAATGTTAGAGCTTGTGACATATCATCCTGGACCCAGACAAATGTTTGAATCACCTAATTCCATCAACAGAGAACTGATTTTGATAATAGTTCATAGCTGTACATGATTTTCCTCTGGTAAAGTGAACAGTCTTCATTTCATTTTCTAGGACTTGGTTACCATTGCTCAAACTCTTGAGGATAACGCTTATGATGTTGATGCCTCCATTCATTATATTCTTCAGTTGATGTGTGTTGCTGAGGACACAGGTATGTTCGGATGGGTAGTAGACTGGGGACACTGCTTGTACTTTTGGACGGTAAATAAATGCATTCTTCTGTGTAATACATGCCCCATGCTCAGTTGATTGCTGAGCCCCTAGTAGGGGTTTTTGGGATACTGGATGTTTATGTTAATATTAGCAGGAATACAGGATATTACAGGAAAGGGTTATGGGCAGCATACTCTTCATTGAGGGTGGCAAAGGAGGGGGGAAATACCAATCACACATCACGCTGAACTTTTCTACTAAATCATGCATCATGGGGCATTTTTTTCACCAATCAGGTGTCACGTAAAAAGAAGTAAGTACATCGCCGATTTTACTTTCTCGCCCCTATAAGCGTCGTTAAAAAGAGAACTCTCTCGATTCAACTGCAGAAATGCATTGGCAAATATTCCAAACATTTTCCCCCGAAAATGACAATTATTGGTCAAAATAAAATTGATGACATGTACGGGAGACTGAGAGATTATGTCTGTATCCAGGAGACTCCTGGATAGTCTGGGAGAGTTGGCACCATCTGTGAACTGGCTTTTGATGAGCGCGAAAAAAAATAAAATAGGGTGAGTGAAGCAAGCCTAGCGGGGTGGGATTTTTCCCTCTCCAGACCATTCTTTGTTATATCTGCCTGCCAGTTTATTTGCTTTCCCTACAACAAAATCAGGAGCCTGTTCACAGGCTAAGTTGGCAGAGATCTTACATGTTTATTTATTGCTTCATTTGTGTTTTGTGTCTACACATTCCCCATGATGAGACAAAAAATAGAGTATTTTAAAAGTAGGTCACTAATATGTACAATTACATTGATTTCACTAACCACAGTGTTTGTTTCAGGGTGTTTGTCTGACGAACTTTATGCCACCAGCAGTGAACTAGTAAATCATGTTCCAATGACGGAATGCAATGTGTTGGAATCTGAAAAATCTGCTGACATGGAAATTAAGGATCTTAATACAAACAATTCTACTGGTGAAACATGTAGTTGTTCCACTGAGGATAACACACAGTTATCAGATTTGGGGACTAAAGAAGAGACAGAAAACAGTAATTTAAATCTATCAAGCAATCCAAAGAGTGAAACTGTACAGGACTTGAGTGAATCCATATCACGTGGCGACCATAAATCCAGTAAGACTTATGAGCAGCAAGGGGCAAGGCCCAAAGTTGTTGATAGGTCTAAAAACAGACAAGGAACAAGTAATGTGCACTTGAGTAACAAGAAAAGAAAGGAACTTGCAAAGCAGGAGAAAAAGAAACGAAGGGATGAAAGGAGAAAGGAGGACTCGATTCCCTGTCTTGATTCTGGAGCTGCAGGGGAACAAAATACCAGCAATGGTATTGTTGCTGATTTAGGACTTCTTGCAATATAGAAGTCCGCAAGTCTATTTCTATTTCTAATATTTCTTCAGGAAATGGTCACGTCATATTTCCTATGAAATATTTTATTTAATATTGTTATTACTTTGGTGCACATGCCAAACATGGGCACTACATGGTATCAATTAACGAAAAAAGCAGTTCTTGCCAAATACTAATCTAATCTAATGTCATCTAGCAACATTTAAAAATAAATTCAGTGTGTGCCTTCTCTGTTTCCATTATAAATACTGGGGGGTGGGTGCAAGCTATTGTAGACTTCCTTAAGTGTTACAAAATCAGCAAACTTACAAAAACAGCAACATTCAAATTACTCAAGTACACAAACTGATTTTAAAAATATGTAGCTACAAATTATAGTTCTCACAAAAGCTAACTACAAAAATAGAATTTCCTTAGTTGTAAGTATAAACAATTTTCTTATTTACAAAATTAATTAAGATGGCCTTGTTAATTCACATGATTGTATAAAATTTTGATGTCAAGGTTAGAAAATCAATGACACTCAAACTGATCTGATTCATACTATTTGTTATTAGCTACTGAACAAGTTTGTTTTGAGCATGATGTTCACAAACTCCTCCTGATCAACTTCACTGTCGCCATCTTTGTCAGCTTCTTGTATCATTTCCTTGAGTTCCTGCTCATTCAACTTTACCCCACAGAGTCTGGAAACTTGTTTCAGATTGGTCAATGAAATTTTTCCTGTTTTATCTGTCATGAAAGAAAAAGTTTGGTATTGCTGAGTAAAATACTGTCAGCAGTTGTAAGTTGGTTATGGTCCAAGCCACATTCAAATATTTTAAACCCTCCTATATGCTAGTTTCATGCACAGCCATTATTAGGGTCATCAAGCAACGCTTCTTGTTGCAGCTATGGAAGAGACTAACTACATGCAGACACCTGATCTTTTTTGAAAGTGAACTCTTATAGCAAATTCCTTTGTACAATAACATGAAACCTGACAGTACTTTACAACTGAAAAAGCTTAACTTACAAAAGAAGAGTTAACATGATTTGTTACATATAACAGTACCCAACTAGACAATGTACACAACACATTTTTTCATCGTCTTAACATAAAAGGCCTTTTGCAACAGATGGTCATATGGTACAATGTATAATATCAGCCATGCTGGAAGGCATTATACATGTATGCACTGGGGCATAAAAACACAAGGTAAAGTCAAGCTTGACTGATTGAAATTGCTTTGTTTTGGAGGCTGTCACATTCGTTTGCCCTCCAGAATGGAACATTTTCTGCCATGTGGCTGTTTGTTGCAAAAGGCCTATTTTCACTTCTGCCCTTAAGGTTGTCAAAAAAAATATTGCTACATAACAGTTACAGTGATTTGGTGTTGGCCACTCACCTGTATCAAACATCTTGAAACCCTAGGAATAAAATAATATTGTAACATGACAAGTACGTACAATACCCAAGATTTTATGTGCACAAAAAACTGATACCATGAATCAGGGAAGATTGAGTTTGAACAAAAAAGAAGGGGAGAGTAAATAATTTAATATCAAATTATGCAATTTTTAACTTTGTTTCTGTTGACTCCCCACAAATCCATTTCTGTGGCACATGGCAAGAACTTTCTGAAGTATCTAGTCTCCCACAAATGAACCCTTCCCTCCTCATAGTTTACTACCAGAGGTTATTACCACAAGGCTGAAGTGGAAACCTGAAGTGGATCTCATCTGCAAATACACTAACCATTCTACACATTCTCACTTTTGTCCATGTGTGATAAATAAAATATTGAGGCAATGTAAATTTCACACTAGTCTTTTTAAAAAGATTTTCACAAAAAAAATGGATAAAAAATGTTATATATTTAATAAATTAAGAATCATATAATTTATGCAGATACCGGTACCTGCACAATTTCATTGTGTACATCTCTGCCATCCCCTTGTCTGGCAATTATAAATTCCAAAAACTCATCAAATTCAATTGACCTGTAGGGAATAAAATGTTGAACAAAATGAAACCATCACAATCAATGAATTTTCCAATCTGTTTTTATTTATTAATTGCTAATTAATTTTCATTTTGTGGATTCAACATAATGACCAGCTCACAGTTGGCTTGATAGCTCAGTTTGAGCACTGCACTGGTATTGCAGGGTCATGGGTTTGAATCCCATTAAAGCCTGCATTTTTTCAGGCTTTACCACCACTACTTAAAATTTGTATTTAACTGTGATGGTCTTTCTTCTTAAGAATTAAACCTTTATTCTGCAGATCAAAAAATTACTTATATTCTATTTCAAGCAAACTTCTGTTGAATGTTGTAACTTTCAAAATTATGTTATCCACTGGATTGCCAGGTAGCTTTGAAACAGTATGTTCAGACTGTGTCATATACAATGCATACAACTGAGAACACATTAAATTATCTGTAACACTGTTGGATATCTTCAAAACACATTATTATAAGTAAAACCCTACCCTGATTTGTCAATATCCAAGTCAGCTGGAATTAAAGAAAAAAAGGTCTCAAAGTAAGTTTGGTAGTATATGAAAATGTTTTCATTAAGCATCCTTTACCACATCTGTAGGGTATAACACAGACATCCAGGGAGGATGTTACTTTGAATGGTTGGTGGGGCTGTGCTGCAAAGAATCACAAATTCTTGCTTTAGCGTGGTTCTTTCCACCTTGAATTCTCGAACCTTTTGCTGGAAAGTCTCAGAGTCTCAAGTGTAACGATGTAAAGAAAAGTCTCAGATTGATTTAAAAAGATGATTGGTACAAAGCATTGTTATAATTAGTAAGAGTCTTTGATCATCTAGAAGTATGTGTATCAAACTAGTACTTTGCAAACTGTAAAGGTGGGAATTATAAAGTTAACTAGGCCCTCTCTGGTGTATTACTGTTCATGTAATATTTACATATACATAGCACCTTTTCTGTTTTGTCACATTTAGAACTGAGTATTGTGTTTACCTATCATGTCCTCTATGGATTCCCTTGAAATCTTAAATCCTAATGCCCTCATAGCCTTCCTGAGTTCTCGGGCATCAATTGACCTACAAGTTCAACACATTTATGATATCCCACAGTCAACCACATACATGTAAACAACAAATGATTTGTAATGAGAAGCTGTTGAATTTCAAGAAGTCAACTATAAAAATTATGTATTACTAAGCTACTGCATACCACAAGAACACAAGAACTACAAGTTATAAATAACTTACTAGAGAAAAAAAGTTTCTACAGAGTTCCTCGAACACTCATTTACTAGTTAGGGAGCAGCATTAAAAACAAGTGAAAAAAATCAGGCTTCGGGTGAGGAGCTGGCCTCCTCACCTCTCTATCTACTCACCTGCATTCTTTTCCTGTTGAAAACGTTTCAAGGATCTTCAAGAGGATCTTGATGATTTTCAATCAAGATCTGCAAACATCTTGGTCAAGAATCTTTTAATTAGGATCTTTCCATATTCTTGTCAGTATTTTAAGAGATCTTGACCAAGNTACCAACAGATACATGATTTAAATATCTAGCACATGGTAATTTAAGAAAATAGATGCAATTAATATAAAAATTACAAAACATGTGTAGGGAAAATTGAAATCTTGGACAAAGCAAAAGAGAGTAAAAATCAACAGTGAGACCACCCAAAAATAAACAAAGTCAGTCTCATGACTCAAACCAACAACTCAGAGTTGTAATTAGCAGTTTTCTCTATGCCTTACTGTAAGTATTGAACACTGTGCCATATTGTTCAATATGATTTATGGCTTAAATATCTTTGTTATTCATGTCACACTTTTAGTACATTTATGTGGCACTTTGTTGGTTTCATGATATTTCTTTGTCACAAAACAAAGGACTAATCATTTTCTATTGCTTCTATTTTGAATATAGCAACAGCATTTTTTGGCTTTTTTTTTCTTGAAAATGGAGCGGAAACTAGCAAAAAAAGCCAGGACAATGTTTTTCAATTTATTTAAAGGCCAAATGCAAAAATGCAGCTTATTTGGACCAAAAAAAATTTATCAAAATATTCACTTATCCCCTTTTACCACTAGTTACTTCACTGAAGGATATTTATAGTATAAAGCTTTCAAATTACTGAATTAATTTCCTGCAATTCTGAATGTTAGAGCTTGTGACATAATTATCATCTTGGACCCTGACAAATGTCTGAATCACTTAATTCCATCAACAGAGAGCTGATTTTGATGTTAGTTCATGGCTGTATGATTTCCCTCTGGCAAAGTGAACAGTCTTCATTTCATTTTCTAGGACTTGGTTACCATCGCTCAAACTCTTGAGGATAACGCTTATGATGTTGATGCCTCCATTCATTACATTCTTCAGTTGATGTGTGTTGCTGAGGACACAGGTATGTTCGGATGAGTTGTAGAGTGGGGACACTACTTGTACTTTTGGACGGTAATGCATTCTTGTGTGTAATACATGCCCCATGCTCAGTTGATTGCTGAGCTCCTAGTAGGGGTTTTCAGGATACAGGATGTTTATGTTAATATTAGCAGGAATACAGGATATTACAGGAAAGGGTTATGGGCAGCATACTCTTCATTGAGGGTGGCAAAGGAGGGGGGAAATACCAATCACACATCACGCTGAACTTTTCTACTAAATCATGTATCATGGGGCATTTTTTTCACCAATCAGGTGTCACGTAAAAAGAAGTACATTGCCGATTTTACTCTCTTGCCCCTATAAGTGTTGTTAAAAAGAGAATTCTCCCGATTCAACCACAGAAATGCATTGGCAAATATTCCAAACATTTTCCCCAAAAAATGACAATTATTGCTCAAAATAAAGTTGATGACCTGTACGGGAGACTGAGAGATTATGTCTGTATCCAGGAGACTTCTGGATAATCTGGGAGAGTTGGCACCATCTGTGAACCAGCTTTTGATGAGCGCGAAAAAAAATAAAATAGGGCGAGTGAAGCAAGCCTAGCGGGGTGCGATTTTTCCCTCTCCAGACCATTCTTTGTTATATCTGCCTGCCAGTTTATTTGCTTTCCCTACAACAAAATCAGGAGCCTGTTCACAGGCTAAGTTGGCAGAGATCTTACATGTTTATTTATTGCTTCATTTGTGTTTTGTGTCTACACATTCCCCATGATGAGACAAAAAATAGAGTATTTTAAAAGTAGGTCACTAATATGTACAATTACATTGATTTCACTAACCACAGTGTTTGTTTCAGGGTGTTTGTCTGACGAACTTTATGCCACCAGCAGTGAACTAGTAAATCATGTTCCAATGACGGAATGCAATGTGTTGGAATCTGAAAAATCTGCTGACATGGAAATTAAGGATCTTAATACAAACAATTCTACTGGTGAAACATGTAGTTGTTCCACTGAGGATAACACACAGTTATCAGATTTGGGGACTAAAGAAGAGACAGAAAACAGTAATTTAAATCTATCAAGCAATCCAAAGAGTGAAACTGTACAGGACTTGAGTGAATCCATATCACGTGGCGACCATAAATCCAGTAAGACTTATGAGCAGCAAGGGGCAAGGCCCAAAGTTGTTGATAGGTCTAAAAACAGACAAGGAACAAGTAATGTGCACTTGAGTAACAAGAAAAGAAAGGAACTTGCAAAGCAGGAGAAAAAGAAACGAAGGGATGAAAGGAGAAAGGAGGACTCGATTCCCTGTCTTGATTCTGGAGCTGCAGGGGAACAAAATACCAGCAATGGTATTGTTGCTGATTTAGGACTTCTTGCAATATAGAAGTCCGCAAGTCTATTTCTATTTCTAATATTTCTTCAGGAAATGGTCACGTCATATTTCCTATGAAATATTTTATTTAATATTGTTATTACTTTGGTGCACATGCCAAACATGGGCACTACATGGTATCAATTAACGAAAAAAGCAGTTCTTGCCAAATACTAATCTAATCTAATGTCATCTAGCAACATTTAAAAATAAATTCAGTGTGTGCCTTCTCTGTTTCCATTATAAATACTGGGGGGTGGGTGCAAGCTATTGTAGACTTCCTTAAGTGTTACAAAATCAGCAAACTTACAAAAACAGCAACATTCAAATTACTCAAGTACACAAACTGATTTTAAAAATATGTAGCTACAAATTATAGTTCTCACAAAAGCTAACTACAAAAATAGAATTTCCTTAGTTGTAAGTATAAACAATTTTCTTATTTACAAAATTAATTAAGATGGCCTTGTTAATTCACATGATTGTATAAAATTTTGATGTCAAGGTTAGAAAATCAATGACACTCAAACTGATCTGATTCATACTATTTGTTATTAGCTACTGAACAAGTTTGTTTTGAGCATGATGTTCACAAACTCCTCCTGATCAACTTCACTGTCGCCATCTTTGTCAGCTTCTTGTATCATTTCCTTGAGTTCCTGCTCATTCAACTTTACCCCACAGAGTCTGGAAACTTGTTTCAGATTGGTCAATGAAATTTTTCCTGTTTTATCTGTCATGAAAGAAAAAGTTTGGTATTGCTGAGTAAAATACTGTCAGCAGTTGTAAGTTGGTTATGGTCCAAGCCACATTCAAATATTTTAAACCCTCCTATATGCTAGTTTCATGCACAGCCATTATTAGGGTCATCAAGCAACGCTTCTTGTTGCAGCTATGGAAGAGACTAACTACATGCAGACACCTGATCTTTTTTGAAAGTGAACTCTTATAGCAAATTCCTTTGTACAATAACATGAAACCTGACAGTACTTTACAACTGAAAAAGCTTAACTTACAAAAGAAGAGTTAACATGATTTGTTACATATAACAGTACCCAACTAGACAATGTACACAACACATTTTTTCATCGTCTTAACATAAAAGGCCTTTTGCAACAGATGGTCATATGGTACAATGTATAATATCAGCCATGCTGGAAGGCATTATACATGTATGCACTGGGGCATAAAAACACAAGGTAAAGTCAAGCTTGACTGATTGAAATTGCTTTGTTTTGGAGGTTGTCACATTCGTTTGCCCTCCAGAATGGAACATTTTCTGCCATGTGGCTGTTTGTTGCAAAAGGCCTATTTTCACTTCTGCCCTTAAGGTTGTCAAAAAAAATATTGCTACATAACAGTTACAGTGATTTGGTGTTGGCCACTCACCTGTATCAAACATCTTGAAACCCTAGGAATAAAATAATATTGTAACATGACAAGTACGTACAATACGCAAGATTTTATGTGCACAAAAAACTGATACCATGAATCAGGGAAGATTGAGTTTGAACAAAAAAGAAGGGGAGAGTAAATAATTTAATATCAAATTATGCAATTTTTAACTTTGTTTCTGTTGACTCCCCACAAATCCATTTCTGTGGCACATGGCAAGAACTTTCTGAAGTATCTAGTCTCCCACAAATGAACCCTTCCCTCCTCATAGTTTACTACCAGAGGTTATTACCACAAGGCTGAAGTGGAAACCTGAAGTGGATCTCATCTGCAAATACACTAACCATTCTACACATTCTCACTTTTGTCCATGTGTGATAAATAAAATATTGAGGCAATGTAAATTTCACACTAGTCTTTTTAAAAAGATTTTCACAAAAAAAATGGATAAAAAATGTTATATATTTAATAAATTAAGAATCATATAATTTATGCAGATACCGGTACCTGCACAATTTCATTGTGTACATCTCTGCCATCCCCTTGTCTGGCAATTATAAATTCCAAAAACTCATCAAATTCAATTGACCTGTAGGGAATAAAATGTTGAACAAAATGAAACCATCACAATCAATGAATTTTCCAATCTGTTTTTATTTATTAATTGCTAATTAATTTTCATTTTGTGGATTCAACATAATGACCAGCTCACAGTTGGCTTGATAGCTCAGTTTGAGCACTGCACTGGTATTGCAGGGTCATGGGTTTGAATCCCATTAAAGCCTGCATTTTTTCAGGCTTTACCACCACTACTTAAAATTTGTATTTAACTGTGATGGTCTTTCTTCTTAAGAATTAAACCTTTATTCTGCAGATCAAAAAATTACTTATATTCTATTTCAAGCAAACTTCTGTTGAATGTTGTAACTTTCAAAATTATGTTATCCACTGGATTGCCAGGTAGCTTTGAAACAGTATGTTCAGACTGTGTCATATACAATGCATACAACTGAGAACACATTAAATTATCTGTAACACTGTTGGATATCTTCAAAACACATTATTATAAGTAAAACCCTACCCTGATTTGTCAATATCCAAGTCAGCTGGAATTAAAGAAAAAAAGGTCTCAAAGTAAGTTTGGTAGTATATGAAAATGTTTTCATTAAGCATCCTTTACCACATCTGTAGGGTATAACACAGACATCCAGGGAGGATGTTACTTTGAATGGTTGGTGGGGCTGTGCTGCAAAGAATCACAAATTCTTGCTTTAGCGTGGTTCTTTCCACCTTGAATTCTCGAACCTTTTGCTGGAAAGTCTCAGAGTCTCAAGTGTAACGATGTAAAGAAAAGTCTCAGATTGATTTAAAAAGATGATTGGTACAAAGCATTGTTATAATTAGTAAGAGTCTTTGATCATCTAGAAGTATGTGTATCAAACTAGTACTTTGCAAACTGTAAAGGTGGGAATTATAAAGTTAACTAGGCCCTCTCTGGTGTATTACTGTTCATGTAATATTTACATATACATAGCACCTTTTCTGTTTTGTCACATTTAGAACTGAGTATTGTGTTTACCTATCATGTCCTCTATGGATTCCCTTGAAATCTTAAATCCTAATGCCCTCATAGCCTTCCTGAGTTCTCGGGCATCAATTGACCTACAAGTTCAACACATTTATGATATCCCACAGTCAACCACATACATGTAAACAACAAATGATTTGTAATGAGAAGCTGTTGAATTTCAAGAAGTCAACTATAAAAATTATGTATTACTAAGCTACTGCATACCACAAGAACACAAGAACTACAAGTTATAAATAACTTACTAGAGAAAAAAAGTTTCTACAGAGTTCCTCGAACACTCATTTACTAGTTAGGGAGCAGCATTAAAAACAAGTGAAAAAAATCAGGCTTCGGGTGAGGAGCTGGCCTCCTCACCTCTCTATCTACTCACCTGCATTCTTTTCCTGTTGAAAACGTTTCAAGGATCTTCAAGAGGATCTTGATGATTTTCAATCAAGATCTGCAAACATCTTGGTCAAGAATCTTTTAATTAGGATCTTTCCATATTCTTGTCAGTATTTTAAGAGATCTTGACCAAGATCCTTGAAAGTAATGTAGGCCCTTAAAGGTCTCAGAGATTCTCAAAGAACCTGACAGGTACATCAGGGTGCATTTATCTTATATTTGCTTTACTTCCCAGCTATGAAAAAATGCCGCTGTAACAGACCATTACAGTATGACTGAGCTTAATGCTAACTACTAACTATGCTACCAAAAAAATAACATAAAAAGCACTATGCTACCAACTATTTTATCAAATATGTTATCAACTACTTTCAATAAAATAAATCCTATAAACATGCAGAATGTACATAATTATGTAATTAATGTTTCTTATGAGCTTTATTACTGTAGCAAATGCCGTACAGCTCATTGGAAGTCTCTGGTTTGGTGGTCAGAGCACCCAAACAGGGTCTTGGAAGTTTTGCTTTGTCCAAAATAAAATTACCTGCTGCTAAAGAGTACTTACCCACTCTTATCGGTGTCAAACACATCAAAAACAAGCTTCAGATCTCTAATCTCCTGTGGTGTAAGTTGTTCATATGCTCTTGAGGTGACTTTGCCCTTCATGAATCTCCTCTTATTCCGTAGCTCACCATCAAACAAGGCTTGAGAAAGCTACCCAATACATAAAAACAGAAGAATTACCATGATGTGCGATGAGACCATTGGTTCAATTATGAATCTTGCTGTTAAAAATAGCAACCTCATCTGTTTTTTTAACCTCATTTGTTTAAGGGTGATAGAGCCACCTTAACATTGTGAAAACACTCTGGTTCAGACTTATAAGGAGATATTTCTAAAGTTTGCTTGAACTTTTGCTTGATTTTACAGAGGCTGGTGCGAGTCTGGCTTATATCTAAGGTAAATCACAAACGCCTGAACACGTTGACATATTGACTGGGCATGACCAATAAGGTGGTAGATTAATGGTAGATTAAACCGCAGGCCTGGAGTAATTCATTTATGTCCCTTCTGTTCTGGATTTCGCTGATGACACAAAAAGATCCCAGAAATAAATAATTAAAATTCTCATCTAAACATGAAGATTTTTACAATATCAGAGAACAAACACAGAAATGCTGTT